AGACATGCCTACATGCAATGTTTAATGAAAAAGTACTAAATTAATAGATGAAGAAAAAGAAGGCAGCCCAGCTTTTACATCTTTTGGTTAAAATGACTAAAAAGAAATTACTGTAAACAAAAAGCTTGAGAGAACCAAGTCAACAGTGCCAGTTACATAAAAATTAACAGTTATTAATAAATTCAAATCAACTAAAATTCCTTTTCTTCACTCTCCTATCTTTCACCCCCACCAGATGCTCAACAGCATTACTTTCTGCACCTTCACAAACAGATATCTCAGAGAAATTACTGTAAACAAAAAGCTTGAGAGAACCAAGTCAACAGTGCCAGTTACATAAAAATTAACAGTTATTAATAAATTCAAATCAACTAAAATTCCTTTTCTTCACTCTCCTATCTTTCACCCCCACCAGATGCTCAACAGCATTACTTTCTGCAACTTCACAAACAGATATCTCAGATTACATGTGATCACACTGCATGCATTTGAGAAGTCAATTTGCCCTCCCACTGCTGAAGTTAGTGTGAAGCTTTTCCTTAGGATACAAGTTGAAAAAAGCTGAGGTGTGTATCCCTTTCAGTAAATGTTCAATATCAAATTTTTAAAAAATAAACGCAAAAAACCCTCAAATGTTAATTGCTATTAATAAAGCAAAGTGAGAAGACAAATTTTTAAAAAATAAACGCAAAAAAACCTCAAATGTTAATTGCTATTAAAAAAGCAAAGTGAGAAGGCAAGAAATGAAATGCACTTTTTCTTGTTCTGCTTGGGTTTCAGGGGTTGCAGCAGTGAATTCTAGGTTTGGGCAAAAAGTGAGCTGGGTTTATGACAAAGCAGGTATATATCATGCAGTAGGGGAGCTAACACTTCAAATGATTTTGGTAGAAGGGTCATTTTCTAAGGGAAATCTCCTTCTAGCCTCCAACCTGTATTTCTTCCTCATGTTCATACATGTGTAGGAACCAATTTTTTTCCAGTGACACCTGAAATCAATTATTCCAAACAACTAAAATGGCACCTATCTAACATCTAAAAGATGAAAGACTAGTATCATCCCAGGACATTTAGTTTTTCATTATATACATGAAAATTATATAAGACCGATTAAAAGTAAGGAACCACAATACAATGAGCAAAAAAGAGTGGAATTCCTGAAGGTAAATTGCAACAATTGCCTCCTTTCAGAAACTGCATACCCTGCCTGTGATGTGAAAATCCATCAGGAATTTCTGAACTGGTTACCGTAATAGCCATATCATGTCCACCCTACGGCCCCACAGGCTTACCCAGGAGTCTTTTTTAATGAGTTTATTCTGCATCCAGGGTTATTTTCACATCCCTACTAAAGCAGAAACCTCAGCAACAGAGCACAAGGCATAGATGTGCTTCAATTGATGCAAAAGCTAAAGGAATGGGCTGAAGGCCAAAGAAAACATGGGGGTACTTGTGCACTACTGGAGGATGCAAAGAAAACGGGAATGTTTGGGACTGGAGAATTTTAAGAGTCAGAGGAGAATTGGTTTTACACAAGAATGTGTAATAGTACAGGACTGGAAGCAGGACTACAGAGTCCAAGGGTAAGATCTCTTGGAAGAGAAACAGCTTTGCAAGCCATAATTTTTGGAGCTTGAAGGAAAGATACATGTGTTCTAGAGTAAGAAGACTAAAGGGAAAAATCTCAAATTGGTAGGGGTGAAATTACCTCCAGGCCTGCTCTACAGAGAAGTGAACACAGGAGTAACCATTGTTCCTCTTCTCTTTCACCCTCCCCTCTTGCCACTGGGCATTTGGAAGAGCCACTAGTAGCAAAAGCCCTCAGCAAAATTCCCCTTCTGTGAAACTGCACATGAGTACAAATTAACTCTGTCGTTAACTGCAGATATTTTTCGCCCTATCATTTATTTCTTGGCAGCACAGTTTAAGCAGAGCTACATGCTTTTGTAACAACATGATTCAAATATATCCATAAAGCAAGCAACATTTTTGAATTGTTGTTGGCTAAAGTCATGTTTTGCACGCTTACAATAGGTACAAAGTGAAGCTTACCTATTCTTTTTGGAATTTTCATCTTTCTCTCTTTTAACCCCAAAAATTCTTGTAATCAGAGCACTAAAAAGTAGTGTAGATGAATTTCTTACCTAAAGAAAAAAGGAAAAAATATGAACTATGCTTTAGAAATCACTGTGAAATGCACTATTTCTTTTTAAATACGGACACTAATGTACAGTCAAAAAGAACAGCTGAGTGAAAAGCATACCTGCTGTTCAGAGGTCAGCACATGTAAAGAATGCAGAGCATTTTTCCAATCAAGATGGTCCTAATACAAAGTTCAGGTTCTTTGGAGGTTACCATATCTATTATAGTGGATGCATCCAGATTTCTAGTGGTTCAAAGCATTCACTCTTATGCACAGCAGATCATGAAATGTTCTACCTGAATATGCTAGATGCTTTTATTGAAGAGCAAAGTAACAGTGACAGGGAATGTAAATGCACTTCTTACTAGCTAGGTGCACTGACTCCAAATTAAACAGCCAAATATACTTTGATTTATCAGGTAATCTTTGTCCCTAATTTCACATTAAGAAAAATGATTCAAAACCAAAAAAACATGAGCTGAAGTATGACTTTTTTGCAGGTCCACATTATTCCTTATTGTACCTTAAAATATTACACAATATAACATTCCAGAAATTGTGGTACTGCTGTTTATAAATATGAACAAAGCTTCACTGAACAGCACCACTCTATATCCTGTTAAATTAGAGAAGCAAAAAAATAGAATTAACTTACTGCCCATACAGGTGACATAAAGCCTAGAATTGATGCTTTTATTCCATCTGCAACATAAGGCATGATGTTCTCACCTAAACGTGTATCTCTATACAGTGCCCTGAGGATATTTAAAGCATGAACCTGTGGTGGTACAAGAAATACAAGAAAAATATATTCATCAGAAAATATCTTAAATTTAATTCATGTAATTACAGCAGGGAACCTGCAGAGCAAAAATAATCCATATGCGCGTTTACAGCACTTTATTTCCATATTAAATACAAGAACACTGCTATTAAAAATACATTAGAATGGTGTAGCAGCAAACACTGTTAAAAACAATTACAGCTTAAAAATATATTCCCTTAACAACTACAGTCCAGGCACTGCAAGCTAAGGCCAACATTCTTTTTTCCTTAGCTTATCATGGCTGCAAAAATAACTTTCGAAGTTTAGAATCATCTTTTCCAACATTCTTGACATGCTGTAGACACTGTGAGAAAAAATAAACTACGACTCACAGGAGGACAATATTAAGTTAAAACTGACAGCCAGGCTTGCTTCACCATATGGATATTTCTGATATTTCTCTCCTCTCGGTAGGGGAAGGTGGCAATCGGTGTAGCTTCACAGACTTTGACAGGGCTACATAAATTTATACCAGAAAATGATCTGGCAGAGCCACTGTGACAAACTTCTATGTATTGCAAACATATTATGGCTCACACTTACAAACTAAAAGATTCATTATTTCATAGCAACATTCTGAAGACAAAGGTTTTGCCTTCGAAATAATTCTTTTTGAGTATTCCAAATGTATGTATTTTAAGTTTTGGAAGTTACTAAGCATGCATAAAATCACTTCTCATGTGCTGTTTTACTGCATACAATATGATTTACGCAACTCATTTATTTACTCTAAAGGTAGATAAAAGCTTGCTGTTAACTTCCTTGTAAAGAGGAAGTTACTTATCTATTTGTGTAGAAACATACTACAGGCAATAAGCTGATCATATATGACTGTATTTGCTGTATTAGGAATTATGCCCAATCCATTTGAGTATCATATAGCTGCAAATGCCAGTAATGTCACAACCTCTGCACATTCAAGCACATTTTAAAATCTAGCTATAGATAATAAACCCAGAATATCCTTATGAAACACACACACTTTCCTTAACTTTTGAAATAACACAAACACTTTCTGATATTTGTGTTTTGATGTGAGACTGAATTTTACCTGTGGAATTACATTCAATGATTCATTCAAAGGTACAGCCAAAGATATCAGTTCTTTCATTGTCATTTTCAGCAAATCTGCTTTGCTCTTCTTTGGTTCTGATGCTAACAAAGCCTACAGAAAGTAAAAAAAGGAACAGGAAAATCAAGTGTTTTCAGTCATTTTTCTTTACTTCAGTTCAGCTCCACATTTCCTATATCTAACATGTTACAGTTGAGCTTCTGACCATACACGACGACTACAGAAAAATTTGCAAAAAGTAAGTTTCAGTTTCAACTCTTAGCTTTGTTTAAAGCCTCTTAGCATTCAACATCACAGTAGGAAAACGTTGCTCATGCACTATCCATCTGCTAAGAAATTTGCTTGTATAGAAGAGATTATAAACTATCGCAGACCAAAAAGAAACCATAGTATGACAGCGAAAGTATCTGCCATATTATACATACTTATATTTCCTAGTGTGGGCTTTGTGTTAGTTTAATAATACACATATTTAAGATGACAAGGGCTGACCAAAGAGTAAATTCTGGTTTGTAAAGCAGGATAAAACAAGCAGCACATTTTTAAAAGGAGAGATGTATCCATTTCCAAACAGTAGTTCAGTGGGTAGGACATCCAGCTGAGATGAAAATACTCTAATTTAGTCCTCTAAAATTCATGACTTTCTCTCTGCCTAGTAGCTCTTGTTGAATTTGTCCAAGTTAGTACAAATGGATAATCATAAATCACTTATTTCTAATAAAAAGTTAATATCCATCTGTGCTTTGGGGCCCAGAGTCTGTTCAGCATCAGTAAGAACCAAATGGATCAACTGCAAGCCAATGAAGTACAAAGGGTAGGCAGAAACCCAGAAATAGTTACTGTCAGTTTAACAGTACCTTTAGTGATGGGAGAAACAGAGAGGGCAGGGGGCAAAAAAAATATTCATGAAGTATAAAATAGAGAAGAATGAACCGAAGACTAAAATTTAATACCTTGAAAATGTTAAAGTTGTAACATAATTTTCCCACCAATTCCTCACCCACTAGTTGGAGCTGCACCTTTGTACTATTAAGTAATCACATTTCTATTTTAAAGAGGTCATAAAATGCTTATACCCTTTAAAATTAAATATTATCCTTAAAATAGATGTGTTTTAGTGAAACAGGAGGACACATCACAGGAAGCAGATAGCCAAGAGACCACACTGCCTTGATTTTATGCATTAACAAAACCTTCTTTTAATACTGTTAGGATACAGATTACAACTTGTATTTTTATTATCTAAATGCAACATGCTATTTAAGGTTTAATTCATTTTACTGAGTGCTTCAGGCACATTCAAAACTACTGCCAAAGAACACCATCACCTCTCTTTACTACAAAATCACAATTTGAAGAGAGATTATTTCAGACTAATCCCAATGTTAATTTCAAACCTTAGCATTAATTGATCAGACTAATTTGTACTCTTCCAGAGTCAAAAAAGAAGCATCTGGCCTGTTTATCCAAAGAGCTACAACACAGCTAAGGCTCTGCCCTATGGAATCAGTAGGCCAACTGCAGACTATGCACGTTCTGCAACGGGATACCATTGAGTCTACCTTACATTACTGTAACTTTTTACATGAAAAATGGATCCAATCACATTTATTTTTTCACATTCCAAGGATAATGCCCACTAGATTCAAACTGTGTGGTGTGAATGGGAAAACCAGAAGACAGGAAATGACCAAATTCATTCTGCAGGCAACTTACAGATATAAAAGAGAAAGATATTTAACGGCTGAAATTGAACAGGAAAAATGTCTCCAAAACCAATGGACTGCTGGTGATCTCTGCTGCCTAGCACACACACATCTAGCAAAGCCAGGAGCAGGCTGTGACTGACATAAGAGAGGTCAGACAGAAGCTGGCTGCCTCAACTTTCTCAGGGCAAACTCAGAGTGGAAAACAAGTAAGATGAATTGCTCTGGCAGGGAGAGCTTGCTCCCAGCAGTCCTTCAGATTCTTGGAATGTGCTTGAGACTATACTTCAGAGTCGAGAAAGTTACAAACCGTGTAGTTAATCTTGGATTCCTGTCATAGAAAACTGGTTGAAAATCAAAATCGTGGAGGTTAATTTAGGGGGAAGCAATCATGGCTGCTTTAAGGAGCAAAGGAATGGAAACAGGTTAAGTGTAACCTGCAAGACCAATTTGCAGTGACAAACCCCATGAGGGTGCAGAAGAGCTGCTGCATAGTACTGTGAGGCACTGGGTAAGAAGTAACACTTCCAGCAGAGACAAAACAATGCCAACCAGCTGACCAGACATCAGTTCTGAACCTGGCAGAAGCCAAGGAGGCTGGGATTTATGGAGCCAATGGTAGCACAGCGAGTGGGAATAATATGGGAGCGTGGCTCCACTTTCATGGATAGAAGTCTTCAGTAACCTACTAATTCATTGCACTCAAGACTGTCAGCCAACAACAGTTAGTGTGACAATAGTACTTGTGCTTTATTGCTGTTGAGAGGCCTTCCTGAGTTCTTTTCAGGCCACTATTTCACAATTCTAGGACGGTCTGTTCATATTTTACCACCCTCCCACTTTGCACTGAAGAAGCACATAGTTACATGGTTAACTAAGCCTTACTTAATCTATGAATCAATTCCTGAATTTTCCAGGATTCTTAGTGGCCACACAGAGCCTAAAGTCAGTCTTTAGAAACCATTCAAGTCCACCTCAAGCCAAAAATCTCAGGAGTCAACAGGACCGAGCTGCCAAATATGGTTTAATGACAAGCAGCTTCTTGGTTGCACAAAGGGAATCGAAGTCTGTTAAAAAAAAACCAAAACAACTATTTGATCAAAAGGTGTAGACGTGATAAAAATAAATAAAACATCCTTTTTTGTGAACACATAAGTCAGAGGTAAAAACATCAGTTGGTACCTGTATGTAGAATGGAATTCCTGCACTACGTCTGGTTGCACATAGAGTAGATGAAGGATCACAAGACTTGATTTCTTCTAACACACAGCTTAGCCACTGCTCTGGCATCTTGTGCAGACTCTCACTGTTACATCTATATCAGAAAAGTACATAAGAAACATGAAACAAACAATGAACTAGGACAGAATCAAAGAAAGCATTTGTGACCTTAAAAAGGTATTGCTTACTATATGTTAACATCTCCAAGCATATAGGCAATTTTTTATTATGAATTAAGAAATTAAAAAAGGAATTGTACATTTTTCCAATGTTAGTATGAATCATATTAACTCTTTTTAAAAAGTGCCACTAGGAAAATATATTTTGCTGAACAGAAATCAAGATTCTGTGCTTCCACACTGCAACAATTCTCTTCTGCCAAGAACTACTACCCTGTTCTGGAGAAAAAAACAAAGACATATGCACATCAGTCACTGTGTAGGAAGTGACACTTCACAAATTCATCTTTGTTGTCACACAGTAGCTGATGCACTAACTTACACTAACTAACAATTATGTTTGTAAGCATACAAACCAAAACTGAAGCCCCTCAAAGTAAGGATACATTATGTAAATAACCCTGCTAACCTCAGATCAATAGCAGGA